CTATCGCTTCTAGCACATAGCTGAAAAGAGGTTCGTCCTCATGCATTTCCGCCACTGAGGCGTGACCGGCGCTCCACGATTGCTCGGCACAGTTTTATTCTGTACAACTGTTCAGGAGGAGAGTTCCATCGTTGCGCTGCTGCTGTCGAAGAAACTGTGGCACTAGACATTTCAGTCAAGCTATCGGCAGCTCATTCATCAGTCGAACTGATTCAGTTCACTCGTCTGAGCCGATATGATCAAAATTCAATGCATCGGAAACACTGTGCGTGCTCTATGTTTGTGCTTACATGGGCTCCTCGGAAGCCGCTCCCCAGATTCCGATTCGCAGGGCCTGCGACGCAGGCTTCAAAGATTCCCGACAATAAAACTAACTACCAAGCTGGAGGAAAAATATGTTTCCCTCCGCCCGTCTTATAATAAGACTCTTATTCTCTAGCTTAAATGACAAACAGAACTAGGCATCTAGTTATTGTTGGGGAAATTTCCCTCAGACAGCATCCCGTTGGCGATGATGCATCAGGCTCTGCTACCTCGGTAGCCTGTCGAGCTAAGTCGCACAGCCTCGGATTCATCACTCGTAGGATGTAACTCTCAGCACAGCACTCTTACAGACTCTTACTTACACTCTACCCACATAGGGTAGGTAAGTAAAAGGTGTTCTCGAGTTCTTTACCGTTCGAAGGTAGGCTACCTTCAAACGGTGAAGAACTCGAGAACCTAAAATAAGATAGTCTCACTCAAGGATGAGAACCGGTTAGTTTACTGAGTAAACTTTACTCAATCCCCTGGGACTCGCCCTCAATTTGGGAACATTTATGATCTAACGTTAGTTTTTTTTGAGCAAGGTGAGCAAGAGCGTCAGTTCGTTCCGCTAACCCACGTCCTCAGGGACTTATTTGAGATTGCGGTGAGGCTCAATCAGCTTGCCTTATCCCGTCCCTAACTCGCGGAAATGCGGATAAGTACATCATAATTCTTCGCCGAAGTAGATAATCGCGTGCCACAAACCCCGTGAGCACGATCCCCGGTTAATGAAGTTCTAAAGCATTTTTCTCACTTGGTGTTTAACTTGATTTTGGGAAAAATACGCACAGCTTCTGTTTTTCGCTGTAAGTTTCCCAAACGTTGCTTAGTTTAGAACCAATACTGTAGCTCTAGCTTGATCTTATTTCGAGATTAGTTTCCTTACACTTGAGAGTCTGGAAGTCTCAAGTTGAGACTAAGAGACTTCTGAAACGTTCTTTAAGTTTTCAAGTTTGTGACGTTAGAGTCTTAATCTTAAGATTCGCCAGATTGACGAATCTGAAGGAGTTGGCGATGTCAATCTTTATGGGCTAGTTGAAATCTCTTAGTGGAAGCCGCCCGGAGTGTTTTCACGCATCATCATACATCCCGTAAGATAAGAGCGAGTTTGGAATACGGGGCCCCATTTCGAAGCTCAAAATTCGAGCTTTTCAATGATGAACTGGAGTTGGTGTTTGGATGAGCTCTTGTGATCAAATCATTTGATTAAAATGTAGTACGATACAAATCCATCTCATGCCTATCGCCAACCGCCCGAGACGGAGAAGATTTTCAGGGATGCCTTCTTGAGATGGAGCACCCGCCGACTTCTCGAGAAGGAGGGGCCCTCCTTCTCGAGCGCCCTCCTGGAGGGCGCTGTCGACAATGGAGACGAAGATCGTTGAAACTCCATTACATTGAATTTCAGTATTCCATAACCGAAAGTTTGCACACTTTGTCTGAGGCTATTTTGTTCTTCATAAGGATCTTATGATGAGATCAATACCTGCGGGTGGGTTGACTATATCACCGCCAGGAGATACGCCCTAGTAGTACAAGCAGGCTGCACTGCAGCCTGCAGCCGCTGCAGGACCACGCAATAGGTCGGACCTATTAGGTCCTATCGGATAGAAAGATCAATGCCGTTGGTTCGCCTGGAGTATTTCGTGCTTCAACCGGGATAGGGTAAACTACGCCCGTGATCCATGATGAGAGTCCTCAAGCTCTAGTTATTGATGTAAACCTTTCAAAAGAGCGAAAAATCCGCCAAAAGTGAAATATTTCACTGAAACTTTTTTCGTTGAAATATTTCACTGAAACATTCTTTAAATATTTCACTATGAAATATTTCAGCCACCTGCCCTTCAGGGAGCCCAACGATGAGACCGCGCAACACCTCAAGGCCTGTCCTGTTCGACAGGATCCATTGTACTCGATTCTCGACGCTACAAGAGGGTATGGCACTTTAAAGTTGATGGATGTTCCGGATGCATTCTTCCGCACCCAAACGGGGTCCAACTTACGACAAATAATGACGGTATTCATTGAGCGCCGACGATTCTACTTCTGCCGGAAGCCCCGAGAGACGCTCCATAAATACTCCACGACGTGGAGACTCCACGTCGTGGAGTCCATGTCACATCACCGCCTCACGTGACGGGCGATAGCCGTAAGCTCGGTTTTTTTTTCGAACTATCTTTTCCAACCAACACAACTCTACTCCGGTCATGACCGTCAAAGCTACGACGACCACAGTCCAACACAACTCAACAAGATGTTCATACGTTCATTGTATCTCAATGAAGTCCACTCACATCGCCTCATACGGCCTTGCAGTGTACTAGCTGTTGATTGGGGGTCGCTTTGCCAACGTAAAGGTGACTTCGAATGAGAATAGGGGGGAGGTGCATAGATAAGGAGACTCTCAAAGAGTCGTTAATAAAAATAGAGCTTGATGTGAGGCCCCTACAGTAAGTACTGGAACACGTGATGGGACGACATGGTGGTGATAGTCCCGCAGGAACAACGTGAGATCCTGCACGCATATACAGAATATCATTACAACAAGTACCAGCTTTAGAGGAAACATTACGTTTTTTAATAACGTACTCAAGCCAGTTATTGGGTGGAATCGGCCGCCCATTTCACACTGATCTAAGAAAGAGGCTTCGTCTGAAAGCCTCTGTCCACTGGCTTGCCCCCTGCTAGACGATCAATAGTGTTGGCACAAGGTGGACTTTTCTAAATCATCGATGTCTCTCGTCTGCTTCATTGCATTCCTGCTGATCCATTGGGCGCGCGGTTGGATGGTCTACAATCCACCAAAAGGTATTTGCTAACTATCTTCAGTACTGAGCTCGCCTCGTGGCATCAATTCATGGCGGATCATCCACGACATTTTGTCCCGTCCCTCTCCTCAGCTCCATTTGAGAAGGCCGAGCCACTCCAAGCGCAGCAACACCAGAGTGGACTCAGCAGCACAGGTTTCCTAGCTCGTGGCGACTCCCTCTGCGACCCGAGTGTTAAGCAAATATACGGTTATTTCAATGGTAGCCATGGAAGAAGGTGAACATTTACTGATCCGTCTTGGCGTGTATGTGAAGTGTGATCAGACTATTCTTCTGGTTCTTCGAGTCTCGTTCTGATCCAGCCCAGGACCCGCTCGTCCTATGGCTTAATGGTGGCCCTGGCTGCAGCAGCATGACAGGACTCTTCCACGAGAATGGACCATGCAAGGCTAATGATGATGGAACGGATACCGAGCCCAACCCGTGAGAATAATCCTTCATCAGTGATGACGTACTGGACGTTCGGCATGAGGTATTCTTGGAATACGCGAGCCAATCTCCTCTTCGTTGACCAGCCTGCAGGAGCAGGATTCGCTGACGGACCACTCGTGACGAATGGCTCCTTCGAGGCAGCTGACGACTTGTAGGTCGAAGATGTCTACTGTATGCATCGTGTATATATCAGTTGGAACATCCAACTGATATATACATGATTCAGCTAGGATCTTTCAAGTTGGAAGGTACATGGCCCTACAGGAATTCTTTGCTAAACATAAGCAATATAGAGATAAGGACTTCTACATTACCGGGGAGTCGTATGCTGGTAACTCTATTGTGAGGCGGTGTGCCGGGACGTCAATCGAACATTCAGGTCATTACATACCCGCCATAGCTCATAAAATATGGCGAGAAAATACTCGAGGGACCGAACCTAATATTAACCTTCGTGGACTAGCCATCGGGAATGGATGGATGAATGCTGCACTCCAGTAGGCGGCGCCCCTATCGTGAAGATATCATATGTCGTATTGCTCCCTCCAGAGTTCTCGATTACCCCCATATGGCCTTCGAAAGCTGTACTGCTCCCCACATCGCCACCTACAAGGAGTACGATTAAAGAGTTGATATTAACGGCAGTTTGAATGGATCATTAATCAGATACGTGGCGCAGACTGGAGCAGCATGGCAATGCTCGAGTGAAATAAGACAGTGCCTGTCAGGCTGCCGTAGGGAAGGGTTCTCCGAGGGAGGGAGCGCTCATGTCAGGCTCGTTCTGCGAGAATGCTACAACTTGTATCTTTGGCGCCACCTTTGCCCCCTTGAACAGACGAGGCATCGACGTGTATGCCGTTGTTCACTAGACCGGGTGATCGGCCATATTTCAGATACGACATGAGGATTACTCACACGGATGGTAACTCAGATGGACTAGACTTCAGCGTGAGTTATTACCAAACATGAATCCTTGCTACGTTAGCATCGATGAATGCGATGGCATCAGTTGTAACTCAGCCTCTCGAAAAATTTGACTCAGTTCGTAAAGTATCTGAACAGGAGGGATGTGCAGAGGAAGCTTGGAGTAAACAAGAGATTCGGGACTTGCTCTTATGTGAGCAACGTGTATGTATGTGGCACCTCACGTTCAGTGATTGAGTTAGGCGGGGGACTTCGAGATTGATAGGATCATGCCATTCGAGACACTTCTACCCGACGTGCTTGATGCCGGAATCAGGGTGAGTCCCACGCAATGTCACGACTTGAGTGCTTGCGGAGTGTCTGACTTGAATTTTTTCAAACTGAAAGTGCGATATGAAAAGAGTGTAGTAGGTTACTACTAGTATCATCTAACTTGTCGTCTTGTGATGTGTGAGTGACTGTTCAACGGTCACTGTTGGCTTTACTTTATGGATAGTCTAGGGCCTGAACCTGAGGCCCTGCGAAATACTTCTTCCGGATAACTAGTTCGTTCCTGAAACCGTCAATTCTGTCGGCATGAGTGAAGTTGGTCCCATTGGTGCCTTCACTTTGTTGCCTCTAGGAAAACCGTCATCGTTTCTCGGAACTATCATTTCATTATGCTGCTAGTACTGCACTATGAATCATAGTCTATGATTAATTTATGACAAGTTCCTCGTTTGAGCTGAGCTTACTAAGCTCAACATGACTCTCTGAGGTTCTTCTGTATGACGGAGATCAAGATTTCATCTGTAACTGGATTGGCTACGAGCACGTGGCGGATGCGATGGAGTGGCCGGGCCGTCAATCTTTCATCAACGCTCCCCGCTATGAGTATGAGGTGAGTCTATTGCCAAACCAACGTTCCGGTATGCACTCCGATTCGTTCGACTCCCCGGACCTTGGTTGATGGCGGCATTTCCCCTCAGGATGATAGCGGAATCTCGATTGGTAAATTCCGCAGTGCCACCTATCAGGAGAGTGGGATGTTCAGCTTCTTCCAAGTAAGATGCTGAAGATTCTGTATAGCATCAAGTTACCAACTTTTGTAGGTGTACCGTGCTGGCCATTTTGTGCCCACCGACCAACCCAAGGCTGCCCTGCTCATGATCAACGATTTCATCTACGGTATTTTCGGACCAGATTCTCCAAGAGCCACACCAGTCGGAGCTCTAGGCGGTTCGTGAACTCTAAGAGCGGTCTCGCACACTTTTCTTTCTGCGAGTCTCTTGGATGTGTATCGAGTGAATCTTCTTGGATAACTTGTTCGATCGATATCATGACTTCTCCCCTCACAAATTGTTCCAAGTTTTCATTATGGCTCGAAATCGTGGATACTCTCGAACGGATGGAGTCCGCGAAGCCATGTCTTATGACTTCTCTGAAGAGCCTTCCGGCTTCCACCCTCCTAAAAAGAAGTTATTGTCCGAAATCTTCTACATGTTGAGTTTTCGAGATAATCTCAATGAGATATCACCCAGCGCCCAAGGAGACGCGCAGCGCG